CATTCGTTACACGGATCCCGAGTTCCTCAACCGGGGAGCATAACGAGACTTACACGACCCAGTCAATTTAGAATGAACTCAGTTTACTGTTCATCCTGTAAGTACAGTACAACCTCTCATTTACGGGGATTTGTATTGTTAGGAACATATAATGTGACTTCAGTCACATTATACAAAACAGGTTTTTCAACATTTTAGATTCCATTTGTGATTTTTTAATCGTAGTATGGATTGTTGGAATAGGTACTTACTCCTACTCCACAGCTAGGTCTAATTTGCTTTTGATCTTCTCGTCATTCTCAAAGTTCAGTAACAATATGAGTTCGCTTACCTTTGAGCACTTTCCCTTTCATGCTCTTTCATTCATTCAAAACATAAACGATGGACCTCATCGACCTCGGCTGCCCTGCTGGACGCCCGCAGAACCCTTCTGATGCCGAATACGACACAGCGCGCAAATCCCTCAAAAGCCAGCTCATCAAGAGCCTGAGGAATGACCGCGAGNAGAGATGGAGAAGGCTGCCGCTATAGGTAATGGTCGCAATCTTTTCCGTCTAATTAGGAATACGGGTCCCGAAAAAATAAGCGTAAGTGAGGTAATTAAGGAATCCGATGGCATATTGATTCACGACCATCAGCGCCGTCTTGATCAATGGGCTGAACATTTCGAGACCAAGTTCAACTAGCCCCCATCGACATCTGAACTATCACCCTCCAACGCAACTGCGCAAATACTCCCAGTTGATGCTAGTCCTCCATCTGAAATGGAGGTTTCTCGGGAAATAAGCTATCTCAAAAGGTATAAAGCCTCCGGTCCAGACGGGCTCTCTCCGTCCGTTTTTAAGGATGGAGGTCTAGCCTTGGTTTTGGAGTTAACAAAACCCCTGGGCTCAGTGTCGGAGAGAGAACAGGTTCCAACTGAATGGTGTGAATCGGTCATCATGTCGATTTACAAGGGTGACAGGTCCGCTTTTGAAAACCACAGAGGAATTAGTTTAATCAACATTGCCTCTAACCTTCTCGCTGGCATCATACTCCGCCGATTGTCTGCCGCATTTGAACGGTGCTCACGTGAGAACCAGACTGGTTTTAGACTTGGTCGAGGTTGTATCGACCACATCTTCACTCTGCACCAAGCTCTGGAGCACCGATATTCTTTTCGTAGACCCACCATCTCTGTCTTCCTGGATCTGAAAGCGGCTTTCGACTCAGTCGACTGCTCTAAACTTTGGCGCTGCCTCTCTCTGAAAGGTGTTCCCGAGAAGTTTATTTCAATATTATCATCCCTTTATACTAATAGCCCGAGTTCACCACGAAAAGTGGTGTTCGTCAGGGTTGCCCTCTCTCTCCTTTTCAATTTAACTTTGTCATAGATTTGATGATAGAAACAGCCTTATCCTCGTGCGAGGAAAGTGGCATCGATTTACTCATAGGTGGCAGGCTGTCTGATATATAATATGCAGACGACATTGTGCTACTGAGTGACGATCCAGGTAAGTTACAAGCCATCACGACGAGACTACACCTTGATGTGGTGTGATGGCTTGTGCACCTCTGTGACCCAACGAGCTACACAGGATGGTTTTATAAAGCCAGGAGATCTTATCATGCCTGGAAGGTCAATAGGTAGAGGTCAGACGAGTTTCAGTCTCCTGGTCCTCCAGGTTGGGGATTCGCCTGGAATTTGGTGTCGATAAAAAGTCGATAAAAAGCGGTGGAGTAATTGATTCAGGTAACTGGGCCTCCAATTCGCCTCACCCGCTGCCTTGCGGTTAGGTTCTTGTTAGAACTAAAGGCTTTGGACGAGAACCCTAATTATTCTCCTGCTTAGTGGCTAGACACCCTAGCAGTACCCGTCCATCAAACCTCAATGCATACACAAAATAAAAATAATTTCAAACTGCATCGGTCGTCGCGCAGGATAATCAGGACCGCGCTGCCCATTGCATCGAGCGGGGTTGGGTAGTTATAAGTGGGCTACTGCTCAGATATCCCAACCTTTGTTTAACTTTTTGATTTCCGTACCCAACCCTCTCCCTTTACCCCTTCTTCCGACCTGTAATAGTCCCTCAAGCAATTTGGATGTCGCTCGCCAAGGGTCATTGCCAAGTAGTAGTAAATGATTTACCACGGAATGGATTGCAGATTCTGAAGCCTCGTCAATCACTTAATCTGGGGGCCTTCAACGTGAGGACTTTGATGCAGCTAGGTCAACAAGCTTGTCTGGCTTGTACAATAGAATCCTTATTAATGGATACTCGCTGCGTGTCTGAAACTTGGATCCAGGATCCTACTACTCTAAGCCACTTGAGCTCGCCAGATTTGTCGATGAGATACGTTCTTCGCACATCAGGCGATGATGAAGCTCGTTCAGTAGGTCAGCGCGGAGTAGGTATTGTACTCACTAATAGGGCGGAGTCCTCTCTAATCGATTGGATCCCCGTCAACAGTCGTTTATGTGCAGTGCGTCTCCAGGGTTCGATCAACGTTCGGAAGGGAAGCAACACCAGAAGGTGTTTGTTCATCGTATCAGCATATGCACCGACCAGTTGCAGTTCTGATACCTAAAAATACGCTTTCTACGATGAAATCACCGATCTCATTCGGATGAGTCGAAGCTCCAACATAGTTGTACTTGCAGGTGACTTCAACGCGCAAGTTGGAAAATTGCTTAGGCGGTTGTTGTGCTCTGCCCTGCCAACGAACAGATAACGGCGATCAACTTCAGTTCTGCGTAGACCATCATCTGTTCCTATCAAGCACCATCTTCCGACACAGCTCTCGACGGACGGCAACGCGGCGCTCCATTTCAAGTGGTACGCTAACTCAAATCGACCACATCGCAGTAAGTTACCGCTGGCGTGGCTCAAGGCAAAATTGCTGGTCCTATTGGATCACCTGCGTTGAGTCTGACCACACATTATTTCTGATGCACTTCACTCTGACTGACTGGTCGGCGACGAAACCAGCAAGCTCGGATAGCTGATCAACGACTATCTGCTCCAGCCGTTCGTGCACGCTATGAGTCAGCGCTAGTGCGTAAGCTAAGTGCGCCTCAACGTGATGATGTAGACGAGCAGTGGGATCATATTAGGTGAGCAATGCATTCCGCAGCGAATGTTGCTTGTGGGTCTGAGCCTCAAACCCATCGGAGGCATTGGATATCTCAGGAGTCAGTAGTCCTGATGGAGCGAAAACGGCAAGTCTCGACCTGCCAGGATCAAAATAGAGTTGAGCGGCAGCTACAACGTCGGCTTACGGAGAGCTAAGAGGACTGTGAGAACCGGTGGGCAACAATTGCTAGTGAAATAGAAGAAGCAGCCGCATCAGGAAATAGTCAAACACTGTTCCAAATGATACGCAATACAGGAGGCGGGCAAACCCCAGTTACTGAAACAGTAAGCGATAAGAGTGGACAAGGTATTCACAATAGGGATCA